ATTTCACTAGTTGCACATCAAAGGTGGTGAGATTTTACGCTTGAGAATAGATATGACTGATTTTCAAACAAAAATCCAGCACCTTTTCCGTCGCGGTCAGGGGAATGTGCAGGTGTGCGCGAGCCGCCGACGAAACCGCACACATGAGATGTGGTGAAGAGAAAATGAGGAGCAGTATGGGGTTACTGACACATGTGAGGAGGTCTAACGCGGCTTCTCTATATCTGCTTAGACGTACCCTGAAACCACCCTTCACACGTCTCTTGTGTGTGTCATGTACTCATTCAGACGTGAATCACAATGTGACTGATGTGAAACACTAGTTGCGCTTACAAAATGCAATCTGACAGGCTACACACCATCACACAGCGACTCATCAGCCAATTAGACACTTCTACCAAGTACCTGATTCAAGACACACTTAATTGAAGTATTCTGTTTTGTGGGACAATCATTGACACCTTATGGGTAGTCATAATGTGAAAATTAACATGGTGAGTAAGAGGGTCACATGGCAAAAATCCACGATTACAAGTGCTTCAGTAAACATCCAACACACTGCTAACTCAATCGCAGACATGATAGATCCTATTTTGATGAGTGGGTTCAATGATACTGAATTTGCGGATGCTAGACAACCCGGAAACCACTGATACTGCATCCATGATGAAAGCCGAGATAAACTTTGTTGACCATCTATTCAGTTCTAACTTTAGACTTGACTGTGAGCTGGTCACGACTCTCTCGCCAAGTCATCGACAGCATTCTGCGACACAGCAAAAGGCTGCGGTATTTTTCAGGGTCATTTTGATTTAGCGGTTTTTTTAATTATAATTCGCACAGAGGGCCATTTGCGATCCGCTCACTGTTCAAGTGATACTCATTACAATGACTATTTCAACATGCACACCGTGATACGATCGTGTTATTCACATATTTCCTGCGTCTGTTGGCCAACGCATTTCCCGTTATTAATAACACGAATACACTGCTGAACACCTCGAACTGACCTTTATCCATGGCACATCGGAGCGAGCTTTATTGTTCAACCACAAACCATAACCGACTGTCTGACGCAGTCTATCCGAGTCCGATATATTGGCTACACCGTTCATTGTGTAGTCCTTCATACAAATCCTTGTGTCTGGTTGGCTGATGATCTTCAAACGCACACAGACAGAGGATTGGCTGAGTTCGGTATGTATCGAAATATATTTGCATCTTTGTACGGCACTACTGTTGTGTTTGGTAGAATATCCTAGTCCTGAAATGAAGAAGACTGGTACAACAGAATAGGCTTCACTGACCAATCACAAGTCAGAACCACACGTCAGTTGCCGTCCATCCGAGTCCGCCACGCTGGCCACGCCGCTTATTACATGCTGCTTCTCATGTGTGCCTGTCTCCGGTTGGCTGCATATCTTCCTCGCATTCCATTGGAACGCCAGGAGACAGAGGATTGGCTGAGGCCAGCGTGATCCAAGGTGTCTGCGCACTTAGACGTCGCCACACTGCCTCCCTCTCAGGAGAGAAATGTCTTCAGCTTCCGGCTTGTTGTCGAATAAAAAAATATCCAATTCGACACTCCCCGATACCCCACATCTGGCAGGATAGTGGCCCAAGCGATTAGTTGACGAGGGACTTCGCTCTTTTTGTATCGCAGTTTCCTTCCCTTCGGGCAGTCCAACTGGCTCATACTGTCCTAATCGTCGTCGCTGAGTTGCTGATGCATCTTCAGATGTAACAGTCCTAATCCCGGGCAATGTCTACGAACCCAGTGTTTGAAATATAGGATGGACCATCATGAAAACTGCAGTTGGCATTTAAGAGTCTTCGCCTCTGTTATTCATGGGAAAGAAAGGGCTGGGGTTCTATTCGCGTTATTCGAACGCATCCCGTACCACCAATGTAGATTACGCGAGCCTCAGTATGAAGAAGACTGGGGCCAGCGTAGTCCAATATGTCTGCGCCCTAATACGTCGCCACAATTTGTCGAGCGCACTAGGATGGCGGCTATCTGACATTCCGCTACACCACAATATAGTTTCACCATCATGGTGGTCGCACATTTGTGTCTGTCAGAATGTGGAAAAGACGTGGAAGACAGGAGACCCTGTGGCGACTACAGAGCCCTGAGTAATGCCGCAGTTATTGATCGCCACACCATTCCTCACTTCTGCCACTTGCCCTAGGCATTGCTTGATGATAAAGTCCATTCAAGACCTGACCCCGTCCAGGCATTTCATCAAATACCTGCTGCCCCAGAACACGTCCCAACATTGCACCTGTTGCTCGTTCGAGTTGTTCCGGTGTCTAAGAAAGCCTATCGGTTTGACAAACGCAGCTAAGAATTACCAGAGATTCATGGACAAAGCTTTTCTTCGTCCTGACCCCGTCTTTATCCACATTGATTGTATCCCAGTCGCAAGAAAAGACGGATGAAACAGACCGGAAAAAAATGAGCCAAAACCGTTTACTAGACAGCTCAACGAAGTTGTGGTCTGTTGACTAATACAGTTGAGTGTATTAGTAAAATACAGACGTCGAAATGACCACGTGGATAGGGCGGGTGGTGGTGGTGGTGGTACATACAGAGGAGTGAATGAGCAGGCAGTTCCAGTCACTTACAGGCACTCCGTGAAAAGGGGGACATGTGTGTGAGGCTGCGACGACCGCGTTATTGGACGTGAATCGACACGATTCACTACAAAACGTTTGTCTTTGTCGTCTCTTGTCTTCCAATTCTCTTCTCGGGCATTTGAGCAGCGTAGAGAGGGTTTGATTCAATTTAGCGGCCCCGACGTCGTACAAGCGCACATACCGGAGACTACAAAAATGGCTGACTTCGACTCGATGGTTCTCAAACACCACAATCAACGCTCTACTGTGAATTTAGCCTTGATTTAACCTCCTACCTTCCAAGATGATCTTGATTGTCTGAGGACAAAGGAAGCTGGGTTCTAAGACACCCGCATAATGACACCAGTAATTTCCTCCGAATGATGAACAGACATCACCAACTCGAGAGAAACCCACAGCCAGTCGATGCCGACGAGATTTCTACAAGCTTGCGAAATCGAACGACTGGGTCATCTAGCGTCTGTCTCTTCGCCAGACATCTAGGAAGCACGGTCGTGCTTCACAAACCCATCCTAGCACATGTGCCTTTCTGCTGCAATACACAAAAATGGTCGAATTAGGATGTGTCGAGTGCTTGTGTGGTTCGCCCAAACATTCTTCCTCCTCTCCCCCGCCTTCTGCTCGCATCTTTACGCGAACCCACTTCCTAAATACCTACTGCTTCTGTCCTCATCGCGGGCAGGAACAAGTTATGAAGAAATGACGCCGATTGCATTCAACCAATCTATTCGTACTAGACACAAAAATGGAAACCAACTGCAAGAGCAACCACTCTGCATAGCACCTCACAATGGCTACTCTAATTCAAGAGACGGTGCGTCAGACATGGAATATTCGTGGTAAATTTTCACTATGCCAGTCAGCGGACCGCGAAATTGATTCGTAGAAAACACAATATTGCACATCAATGAACAGTGTTTAAGCCGTCCATCTGCCACATAATTCACATAAGCCATTTCATTCGATACTGACGCTCCTTCGAGCACGACTAAAATGCGGAATGGTCAACCCAATTCGGTGTGAGTATGTGATCGTGAGGGTTTAAACCAATAGGCATGCGTTGCAAGGTCGCCTGCGTTAAATACGGTATAAGAGAGTGTGACTGGGCTACCTGGGTATCTCGGCTTGCATTCGTGACGAATTTAGAGATGCTAATTGCCGTGTTTAGTTACACTGGCGAGGTGCATGAACTGGATGTGGAGCCTACTGAAACAATAAGGGACGTGAAGTGGAAAATTCACTCCATGAACGGAATTCACCCAGACCAGCAATGTCTCATCTATGCGGGGATGAGACTCGGGGACGATAAGGCGGTCTCTGACCTAAATATTCACGAAGAGTCGAGGCTGTACTTGACTCAACGACCTCCTAAGAGGATGATAATTTATGTGAAACCAGTCGATGGCGACGTGCTGCAGACAGAGTTCAATCCTGAAGACACAGTTTTGAACTTGAAGCGAAAAATTTATGACATTGATGGCACTCCTCCAGAAAAGCAGCTACTGATATTCGGAGGGGGACGACTCGAGGACGATCGAACACTCGCCTACTGCAATGTGGAAGGGGAGTCGACACTGCACCTCGTGCGCAGACCTTAGGATGGATAATTCTACTACATATTCTTGTTGCTTCCAAACGTAAGCTGTACAGGTAATGGCAAATAGAATCATGGGTGAATCACATCTGGTCTTTCTGTGATGCAGCAGATGAGAGGGAACCTCCCGGTAGATACTGATTGGTTTAGATGAAGCCCATTGTGGAAACCTGTTCAGGCATGTGGGTAGATAGTAGGACGAGGGAGACACGGCCAGAAGGTTAGTGCGCAACTTGAACCAAATGCAGCCAAATAAGGGTTAATTAGGAGAAGCAATGCTGTTGGGCTCAGCGACAACATACGATGATTGATTAATGAAATGAGAGCAGTGGGCAATTTCAATTGTGCTTTGTGTTAGGTGACTTCTGGATCGGGGCAAATCATCGAGTGAGTTGCGAGCTCTGAAACACCTCCCGAGGGTATTGCATTTGCCGTCATTATGAGGTGATCACTTGGAAGTGCACCTGCACGCACAGCACACAGACATTGACTCTGTTGCCCAGACGGTGAGTCCACTGTGTGCCTTATTTCCGCCACAATTGAAAATGCATGCAACAAACGTCATCTGGCTGCATTCATTTCCTGCAGCATACTCCCGCTGATTTTACCTTCTGCATCACCATAACCACCTACTTGCCTATTCGTGCCACTGAGTCAAATTAGCACGTCGGATGTGAGAGTGAGTGTGTCAGTCGAGTTTGATTTCAAATATGACACGATGGTGCAGAAAGCGGGTGATGGAAACAGTGCATGGAGGTACTTCTAAATGTCCGACTTCTACACGATTTCTAAGTTGAACTGGAGTTACCTCCGTTCGGAGGTCGGTGAATGGGCTGTTTCAAGCCCCAGCTACTGGTGCTTCCAGTGCCAAATGCGCAGTTTCCATGTCGTTGTTGTGCGAGGTGAGAGATTCTTGCAATTCGCACATTTTAACTGGCGCTGTCAAGTGGCAGATAGACTGCTTAACCACCGCTCATAGATGTGCAATGTTGTGTTTTCTATGAATCAATTTCGCGGTCCACTGACTGGCATAGTGGAAATTTACCACGAATGTTTCATGTCTGACGCATCGTCTCTTGAATCAAAGTAGCCATTGTGAGGTGCTATGCAGAGCGGTTTCTCTTACAGTTGGTCTCCATTTTGGTGTGAAGCACGATCAGATTGTTTGAGTACTTTCGAGGGCGTTACTAGTGGTCCCTGCTCTGCTTCATACACAATCCGCCACATTGGCAACTCCATCACATCCAATAATACTGAGATTTCTCAATGACAACAACCTGGAATCCACTCTTTCCTTCCACCACGATGCTTCTTGGTGACCTCCTCTCCAGTTCTTGCTTTAGAATTGACTCGAGACAGCCTACAACTCAATTCTCCAAACAGTGGCTTTCTCATAACCTCTCAGGTGTCATCAGCGACGACATTTTCTCGTCTGGATCCACTGGGCTGCGTCAACACCGCTTCAATGGATCTCGACTAACGACAGCTTCAATTGTGCTTGTAAAGGGATTCGATACAGGGAAGTGATGCATTCAATTCCTATGAACGCAGCCAACTTAAAACAGGCATGTGACTGCATTCCTCGACTTAGGTTCTAAATGGTATCTTTCAACATTTAGTCAAGTCACAAAATTAGGGAAAATAAAACAGATATGCCTTGCGACGAACTGAAATATCTGAGGTTTACACGTAAATTTGAGGATGCTGCATCAATTTTCACTAAATGAGACCTCATAATAAGCCTTCCAGAAGGATCTCTTCCAAAACGATTCCCGGATGGTCTTCAGCGATCTCAGACCACAAAATCCATTCTCCTAACTAGAGAACACATTGAGGAACCTAGTGATGAGAATACCCCAACCATCCTACCATTAAGGGACTCATCCTTGATGGCCTAACCATAGTCACTCAATACTAACTCCT